CAAAACAAAACAAAACAAAACAAAACAAAACAAAACAAAACAAAACAGGTGTAGGGGCACCTGGGTGGCTCAGCTGGTTAAATGTCTGACTTCAGCTCAGGTCATGATCGCACGGCTGGTGAGTTCGAGCCCCGAGTCAGGCTCTGTGCTGACAGCTCAGAGCCTGGAGCCTGTTTCAGATTCTGTGTCTCCCTCTCTCTCTGCTCCTCTCCCACTCATGCTCTGTCTCTCTGTCTCTCTGTCTCTCTCTCAAAAATAAATAAACATTAAAAAAAAACAGGTTTAGAGAGATTCTGTATTTTGACCAAGAGCATACCGAGGGGCACCTGGGGGCTCAGTCGGTTTTGCATCCGACTTTTGATTTCAGCTTAGGTCGTGATCATAGGGCCATGGGATCGAGCCACGTGTCAGGCTCTGTGCTGATTGTGGATCCTGCTTAAGATCCTCTCTCACTCTCCCTCTTACCCCTCCCCTGCTTGTGCTCTTTCTCTCCCAAAATGAATAAAAAAAAAAAAAAAAGAGTATACGTACCTCAAATAGTAGTAGAGTCTGGATTTCGATCTAAGGGCTCTATTAACCAGTGCCTGCCCCATGGAAAGCTCACAATCAGTATTTGTTACTAACAAATGGCCTACTCCATGGCGAAGTCGTACAGATGTTTCATGTGTCCAAATGTTCACTGAAGTGGCCTCTACATAAAGGTAAACCGATAGCAGGGTCTGAAAGTAGAGCTGAGCCACTCTTTGTCTTCCCTAATGGTTTAGAACCAAAGAAGATGGGTACTGTGCAGGAAGGTAGCATACATAAGTCCCATCTAAGTGCAGTGGTTTGGTCTCAGGACCTCTCTACACTCCTCAGCATGAGTTTTTGCTTATGTGAGCGATAGTAAGGATATTCATCTTAGAAATTAAAGCCGGGGCCTCTGGGTGGCTCAGTCGGTTGAGCCTCTGACTCCTGATTTCAGCTCAGGTCATGATCTCACTGTTGTGGGATTTTGCCCTACATCAGACTCCACACTGAGCTTAGGATTCTCTCTCTTTCCCTCTGCCCCTCTTCCCTGCTCACGTGCTCTCTCTCTCTCTTTTTCTCCAAAGAAAGAAAGAAACATCCTAAAAAAGAAATTAAAACAGAAATACAAAAAAGATTTTAAAGAAAGCTGTATGAAAATAAGTACATTTTCCAAAAGACACACAAAAAAAGTAGTGAGAAAAATGGCAATTTGTCACAAATATATGCTTTGAGTAAAGTTTAGGAAGAAAATCCAGAAATTATTTATAAAAAGGATTGGAAAAGGAAGTTAAAAAGGACATAATTGTGGATTTCCTTTTTTTTTTATACTACACTAAAACTTGACAAGTGGTGGTTTCCTAATGTGAAACCTGAAATCGTATCAATAAATTTCTTTATACTCTGTTATATTAAAATTCATTGGTCTTCTACTCAGTTTGAATCGTTCCACACCTCTGTGTAACACCATAGATTGCTCAGTTGGAAAATACGGGTTCACCGAGTTATGCATATCTTTCAAATATCGATAAGTTTCATTCCGTAACAACAACAAAAAAATCCCATTCATTACTATCGCCACTGCTTTCATCAAAAACATATTTTAATTATTAGGAATATGTCACGTATACAATAGCAGATGCAGGGTTTTTGAAGTTCTAATTTTCACTTGAAAACTGATTTTTATCACTGGCAACAGATACCTTTAATTGTTTTCCTTGAAATGATAGGCTCTCTTGGTTTATGTTTGTCATCACCAAGTCTGAATGACCACAATTTGTCAGTCATTCTTTCAAATAAAAATGATGTTGGGGCACCTGGGTGGCTCAGTCGGCTGAGCGTCCGACTTCGGCTCAGGTCATGATCTCGCAGTTCGTGGGTTCGAGCCCCGCATCAGGATCTGTGCTGGTGGCTCAGAGCCTGTAGCCTGCTTCGGATTCTGTGTCTCCCTCTCTCCTTGCCCCTTCCCCACTCATGCTCTGTCTCTCTCTGTCTCTCAAAAATGAATAAACGTTAAAAAAATTAAAAAAAAAATGATGTTCTGTGCAACGAGCTGTTAGCTCAGCCCTCGATTCCAGCAGTCACACAACTGCCTTTCTTGGAGACAACCATTGTGGTTTGGGATTCAGCAGAAGATGTTCTTGCCTCCTTTCTATTTTGTCACATGGAATATTAAAAAGATATGTGTCCAAGGATTGAGTTTAATAAAATTAACTTTTAATGCATGGAGGACAGTTTTGAATGAAACGAGCCCCGTGTTCCCTTGACTGTGGGTACCTGGTGGTGAAAAGTGAAGCAGCTGTCGGGACATTTTGGTGCCACTGCTTGATTCCTTTGAAGACTCTGGCCATGTCCCCCCACCCCGCCCCACTCTTGATTGCTTTCGCACCGTTGGCGCAGATGTCAACACTGTGAAAAAGATGCATCATGCGCATTGAGAGCCACTGATCTAATCCTGTCTTTTGGCTTTTTTAGGCGAGCGGAGCTGAAAGCGACCTACCCGGGACCGCTGCGCTGGTTAGAGGCTGAGCTGGGGCAAGAATCCAGGTGTTAGTGTGTTCCTCTTTTTCTTTTGAGTTCCTGTACCAGTCTCCGGGATCTCAAGGTAGATGTTTCTGAATTTCTTTTGTGAATATGCGATGCCAAAGGTATATCACTATTGTATTTATTTGGGAAGATTTCCATATATTTTTTCGGTGTGTTTATTAAACCTTTTGCATATTTTCCACACTCTGTGCTCACCACCGCACCGCTGCTCGCTCTCCTGCTTTTCAATAGTGACCACTGCTGCCTTTTTAAACAGAACAGGTTTTGTCTTTGGCACGACCTGAGAGAAGTTGAAGGAGCAGTTGAGTGCTTGTCCATTTTCTGGTTTAGAATCCCAGCTTTGTGGGGGAAAAAAGACTCCGGGAGTTTGGGCTGAAGCGGCCACTTCCTTCTTTACCTGGATTAGCTGGCAGTCACAGCAAAGGAAACTGCCTACACACCCATGATCCTCACTGTCACAGAGAAGTCATCTTACGGGACCACCCCCTGCCTCCCCACTTTTCTGTTAAAATTCTCTCCCTTATTTTTTTTTTTTTTCCTTCCTGTGGGAGGGAGGTCGTCCAATACAAATTGCCCTTTACCTTTGCTTTTGCTTGTGTTAATATTTTATGCGATCTGTTTTCTTCAATAAAAACTGCTCAGCCTGAAATTGTAATGACGGTTGCCGAGACAGGCCATTGAACCGGACCCAGACATCATGTTTTCTCTTCAATAACTCTCTCCTGTCTCGAGTAGCTTTTGGGGGGTCGGGTTTAGGCAGGTTGCAGTGTTTGAAAGTGAATGAATCTGGCAGACTGTGAAAGTAGGCTTGCACACTCTCAAATGGATTGTTCTCTCATTTTCAAATATGTTGAATGTTCTTTTGAACGATCTCATTTTTTCTTTCCTATTCCTCACCCAACATTTCATTGCTCTCTCCCACCGGTGAGCTTTTGTTTTTTTTTAACTTTGTTTTCTAACATTCTTCTGCTGCTTCCTCCATGTGTGTTTTGATTACCCAAAAGTGAGATCTGATTTGACCTTTGCTTACTTCTGTGAATCAGCTCTTCCCTAAACTTAAGCCTTCGATGACTTCTTTTCTTTCCGTAAAACTTAGTTTCCTGTGAACCGTTTAGCTTTTCCTCTTTCTTTCTGAGACTTCTGGTTATGGCTTTGTCTAGCCCTTTATGAGGCTCCCAAACTGCCTCCCAGCAGATCTTTTTTAACTTTTCGAAATGTGTTTTCTGCCTTGTCTGAACTTCTTGAGCGTGGGGACTGTCTCGTGCTTGGCATATCCTTGCTGCCCCGTGGATGTGCTGAATGGATGCTATTTTTACCCGGGGTCTCTTCTTCAAAGGCCATTCTTCAAATTTGTATCTGGAGCTTGGAGCTGTTGTTTGTCTCTCAGCATTGGGCAGCTAAATCTCTGAAACACAGAGCTGCAGTGGCCCATCTTCTAATGCTGACTCCCTCCCACTGCCAGGATGTTACGCATGCCTTCCCTGACAGATGGCCATTGAGCCTCTACTTGGGCACTTCCAATTCTTTGTGAAGCAGTTTGTTCTACTGCTGGGCAGCTTCATGTTTTTTATTATTTTATTTTATTTTATTTTATTTTATTTTATTTTATTTTATTTTATTTTATTT